TTCAATGTTCTCCCGATCGGAGCCAAAGTGGGAAGTGGTAGAACCACTGAAAGATATAGGTAAGAACAGCAGAGATGCATGGAAACATGGCTGATTATTTTTCCAACTCTATGAGTTGTCCTGAGATTACAATACTGCCTTAGTATACAGACCTTGTCTGGCCTGTAAGCCATATGATTTTAATAGTGTTTTAATTCAAGCTGTTGATGACTCTTCTTTTGCAGGTTGGCGAATACGTAAGAAATACTTCTTAATGAAGATTAAGAATCAACCAAAGGAACGACTAGTGTTAAGCTGGGTATATACATTTTCATCCCTTACTCAAGTCTTTCCTAATGAACCAGGCTTATTTAATTTATATTGACTACCATGTGTGAGTGACCAAGAGACTGACTGAAGTGCTGAGGCTTTGAGAGAGCCTTGAAAGCCCTTAGGTAGATGGGTGCGGTGGGAGCTTTCTGTGTTTCTTTCCTCTGGTGGCAAATCCAGTTTGCCTGATAATTTGGTCCCGTTCCTGCACCTCTGTTTCTTCAGTTGTAATGATACAGCTTTTGACTGTAGCATACATTTTCTCACTGAAAAATAACAAGGGAATCGTTTTTGAAGTGGTTTGTTTCCTTGCTCAGCTCTTTAGTTTTGCTGACAAACTGATAGGTGAGAGAGGCATGTGGCTCCTTTAAGGCAGATGTGTTTTGACACCAAACAGTTTGTTGTTATTAAACACTTGCTTGTGTTCCTGTGCTGAACTGTGCTGCCCTCTTAATTACAGCAGTGTAGCAGCGTAGCTGTTTGTGACACTTCACTGGAGAGCAGATATCACTAAAGCCTGTAGTAGGAGGGAAGGTTTTATTCTGGAGAGGAAGATGGGGGGGATTTAAGCCTTATCAGTTCACAGTGCACACAGTCCCCAAGTTTGGGTTTGCCAGAGTTCATTCAGTGGCAGTAATGCATGTCAGATATGGGGAGGAAGGAGGCATTAGAACTTACTTACTGTCAGACACCTTGTGTTGTGAAACCATGGCTTTATTCATCCTCTTCAAGTTTCATTCTGTATGTGTAATTTCCTTGCTTGCTCTTCAAAACATACCTTCAGGCAGATGTCTGAATTTGTGAGAGCCGAGTATAGAATACATCTTCTTTTTGGAATGCAACATCCATTATGATGCCATTCTTTTCCTATTTATTTCCAGGCTGATCTTGGCCCTGATAAATACTTGTCTGACAAAGACTTACAGTATGCTGTGAAACTTCTTTCTTCCTGTTCTGTGAGTATTACTTGAAGACTTTTAAATTGTGCCAGCACAAAAGTGCTTGTTAAGGACTGATCTTGCAAAAGCACGTGTAGCCTAGTGAAAACAGAGTTAGTAATTTTAGAGTTACTTTCATTTAAAGACATCTGAACCTTTTAATTACATTTCCCACACAATGAGGTAACATGTTCTCAGCACAAATAATAATCCTGCAGGATTATTACTGGAGATTCAGAATTGTGGTTAATTGTATTTTTTATTTCTTGTGCAGCAGTCTGAGATTATGAGTTTTTATTTCAGCTCCTCAACACTTTGAGGCTGTTGGGATGGTGCTGTCTAGGTATAGTTGCTAACCTGTGTGCTGGGGATATTCTCAGGCAGTAGTGGATGAAGCAGTGCAGTGAGTTTCATTATTTTTTCAGTTCTTTGAACTTAAGACAGGAATATCTTCGTAGAGCTACAGTGGAGGCTGGACAACTTAAGCTCCTGAGCAATGCCATGTTATAAATCCAATAGCATCTCTGTCTGAAAAAGTGGCATTTGACTCCAAAAGGAGTTTTTAAGGATGTTAAGCATGTGAGAGACTGGTTGAAAAGGATGGTGTTTAAACTGAAAAGCCCCTGTGCAGTCTTGAAACTCAGCAGATGCAAACAACAGAAGAGGCTGAAAACTAAGCTTTTCAGTCTCCATCCCAGACTGAAACTGATATAAAATAGGACACGAACAAGATGTCTTCTCCGGAATTGCAATTGCAATTAAAGTATGTGTTACATGTGCAATTTATTTCCAGCTGTGCTGGCTCATTTGGTTTCTCAAAGTTGCAGGAAGTAGTTTTAATAATTTCTGAAGAGATAAAACTGTTATGACAGCTGTTAATGCCAGGTTTCCTTATGGGCCATAGCTGCATAAAACCATGAATGAATTTATGAACTTAGCATGACTTAAGCCTGCAGCAAAGCTGCTCATGTGCAAGTGCTAATGGAGCTGGATTCCTTATTTGTTTAAACTGTCAGTCTGTTTTGTTAAAAAAAGATGGCAAATTAAAAAATATATATTATTTATGTGGAAAATGAGCAATGTCCTTGTGAAGTTTTCTTTGTATTTACTCAAGGTTAAGACTGAATAACTTGAGCAAATGTCACTGACAGAATCCAGTTATTACTTTAAACACAGAGTTCAGGCAGATCTTTTCTTACTTATGAATTGAATAAAAGAATTACAGAATCTGTCATCTAAAACTTACCTACAGTTTCTTCTTTTGGTAGCATCCCTATATTTACAAAATCACTTTTGCCACTGCCAATGAATCTTCAGCACTGGTTATTAGACCATTCAGTGAAAAAGGGACACTAAAGGACCTTATTTATAAGGTAAGGTCTTCGTCCTGCCACCTCCAACTCAAATGGTAGAATGTTTGCTGGGGTGACCATAGCTTGTCTTTTATAAAACTGCTTACCCTCAATTGCTAAGCAAACTAATACAATGACTGGCTTTTCTAGGCATGATACTTAATATGTATATTTCTTTTAAAGGCAAAGCCAAAAGACCCTTTCCTGAAGAAGTATTGCAATCCTAAAAAAATTCAAGGTCTTGAACTTCAGCAAATTAAAACATATGGAAGGCAAATACTAGAGGTATTTTTTCTTTTTGCTTTAGTTATTAGCCTTTATGATTGTGGGGGTTTTTTATGCCAACTGGTTTAACCAGAAAAAGAGGACAAACTTTTGAGCACATAAACTTCATTTCAGCAGCAGATTTTAAAGCTAAATGTAAATTGATATTAGCTGCTGCACGTTGGATTTATATGTGTTTGTGTGAGGCCATTTCTCACAACAACAAAAGAAGGCAGTTGGTTTGTGTGGAGCTGAAGTGGGAGGGGGGTGATCATGTAGTTTTCCCTTGCAGGAAAAGGGAAGGAAGTAATTCAAAGTTTGCAGAGCATGTACTATAAAATAATTCTCATTAATGTGTTTTTCTAAATTTTTATTCAAATATTCAGTAGAATTGTGAATTTTAATTTCCAGATCTTTGGGAGGTGTGTATAAGCCTGTTTTGAGGATCAGCATCAAATATTTGTTTTGTGGCAAATGTTACCAGTGACATGGAAATGAATAGTCAGCCAAAGATGATGTAGGTAGAAGATCAAGTTGAGCAAGCATTCCAAATTGGGGCCTCATTTATTATGGATCTGCTTTAGTATTGGAGCATTTCAGATCTTGAGATCATCAGAGCATCTAGTGACATTGCTCCTGTCCTGATTTTTTTTTCAGGTATTAAAATTCTTGCATGAGAAAGGATTTCCTTATGGCCATCTTCACTCTGCCAATGTGATGTTGGATGGGGACACCTGCAAGTTACTGGATCTAGAAAATTCCTTATTGGGACTCCCATCATTTTATCGATCATACTTTTCACAGTTTCGGAAAATTAACGTAAGATTTAGACAATTAATTCAGCTGCCTTCTGTGTGTAGAGAACTGACTAGAATGAAAAAAACCTCTTTCAAACCTCCTTCTTTAATCTGAGCTTCTCGTTACCAAATCTCTGCTTCCTCCACATCCCTCTCTGGCTGCACAGAAGTTTTGTTGCAGCACACTGGAGTGAGGCTGAGGCCTAAGGTAGAAGGGGAGTGCAGGTGAGTGTTTTTGGCACAGACAGAGGTAAACTGCAGTTGTTTTAAGACCCCTTTCCACTCTGGTCTTGTATTTCATAGGGATGTGCATATTGAGTACCACACTTTTTCACTTGTGTGTGTGTACAATGTTCATTACTTGGTCCTAGCTGGAAGCAGTAAGTAGTCTTGTCTGTGGACACTGTGAAAATTATTTATTGCAGATGTCTAGCTATCAAAAGGTGGGGTTTATTTGTTTGAAAGGTGTCTCTTAACTGCAGGCTTGCAAAGCAGAATGTTATCTGCCTCAAAAAATATGAAAACAAGCTTGCCCTGTTGCAGCAACACAGCCTTTTAGCATCTTGCCCTGCCTTTAAGAGCTTGTAATAAATTCCGTGCAGCATCACGAGGCAGCTGCTTGCTGACCTTGCTAAACAAGTTCTACTGTGTTGTCAAAGAAACGATCAAAAGTTCATGGCTAGTCCAAATCTGTTGGTGCCATCAAGGCTCTAAGCCACTTTCAGTAAGAGGAGCCATTTCTGTTTAAACATGATTAAAAAAATCTCAGAAATATGCTGTCTGGCAGTTTAGCATGTATGTACAGCTTGTACAAACCCAGGGAGGAGTGAATGAGTCTCTCCTAGGTTTGCTTGGTATGCATTTGCTGTCTTTTTGTCTACCTCTCTGTGAAGTGGCAACTGGTCATATTACAAATCTCATTCTTTGCTGTTTGACTCAGCCAGGGAAGTGTGCTTGGTTGTGATTGGTATCAAGGTATGGCTCTCTAAACTGCTGTGTGGAAAAGCATTTACTACTTTACATGTTTTTGCAGAGCTTGGCTGTACTGCTGTCCCATTTGTATCATCACCTACAGAAGGACCAGCAGTAGCTGCTTCAGCTTGAGGTGTTTAGATTTCCTTTGAGCTCAATTTATGCAGGGAAATGCCTGTGTTTAGAAACGGTCTTACTGGTTTCTCTTTTGTATCTTCAAATGCCAGACCACTCTTTAGTGACTTATGAAAACCTGATTAGTTCAAGCAAGTTGTGTTTTTTATGTTTCTTTTTCCTCCACAGACTTTAGAAGGTGTGGATATACATTGCTTTGGACACTTACTGTATGAAATGACATATGGAAGACCCCCAGATACGATTCCAGTTGACAGCTTCCCTCCTGCACCATCAATGTCTGTTGGTTAGTACACAATGGAGGCAATATCAGTCTCAGCTTCTTGGGTGCTTTTAACCTTTTACCTAAGCTCAAGTGCTGTGAAGTGGCAGCCTAAGATCTTTGCAGCCTGCAACCAGAAAGAATTAGTTGTTTGTAAAAAAAGAAAATGTGTTCTTCCTGAAATGTGTGTAGCATATAAACAAAACTTATTTGACAGCATTTTTTTCTTCTTTTTTTAATGGAGTGATGAAGCAGCGTGTGCTAAGTAATGAGATGTCTGGATTCCCTCACCTCATGTCTGACATTCTTGAAAAGTTTGTCTGTGTAATAGTAGCATTATAATAAAAACCACATGTCACAGAGCTTCATCACTGCTCAGTTGATGCAATACTTAAGGGAACATCCCACAGCAGTGCCAGACGTTTAGTTCTAAATCATTTGCTGTCCTGCTGTGCAAAAATGTGTTCATTCTTATTCTTTCTTTGGTAGTGTCAGTGTTGGAATCCATTCTGACCTGTGAAGCTCTGAAGAATGGGATGCCAACTGCTTCACGGCTCTTACAGATGCCGTAAGTCTTGTTTTACTTGTTTTATACTCACAGTGATGTTTTTAATTATATCAGGAGGAGGGACCTCTTTACTCTTGTTCCTCTTCAGAAAGATTTGTTCCTCATTCTGAGGGATGTACAGTGTATTCCAAATGGATAGGTTTTACAGAACCCACCCCTGGTGAATATAAGATGCTCATCTAACATTTATTTGTCTCTTGGAGTGTTGGAGCTGTTATGGATAAATTTTATTTAGCACAGTGCTATGGTTTAAATTGATCCAGGTATTAAAGCATTTCAAACATGATTAAGATCATGTACAGATTGTTTTTAAGCATTTAGAAAAAGGAGTCTTTTTGCATGTCCCCTTAAGAGCTACTTCAGTAGCTTTTGCTACCAGTTTGCTTAAAACTAGCAAAACTGATCTCTTGCTTTGCCCTGCAGTGACTTTTAGGCTGGGTCTGGGTGTGACATGTTGTGTAGAAGTCCTGGCTGATTTCTTGCAGGGCTGGCTTATGGATTCTTTGGAGCACAGACTGTTTAAATTT